TCTCAATAGTTTGGGCCAAAATATGTATTTTCCCTACCTAGTGAGGGTGCAGATATGGGTGACTGAAAAAAAGGTGATGACACGTTTCTACACCCCATACGTACATCGAGATTGAATACTAGACATCGCTTGGCTTTTCTATTTCCCTCAATTATTTATATTCAGTCCACCGAGGCCAGCTCACGGTTTCAAGAAAAAACATCCATATTCTTAGAAGGACACATCGTGATCTAATTAATTAAGTGCTAGGTACTTTAATCTTCCACGGAGGATATTTCAGGCACACTTTCCACAAGACTGGTTTTCAAAATCCAGCTAATTTAATTTCTCTAAATCGCTATCAACAAAATTGCACGCCATCAGTCGCATATTTCTTTAATAGTTTTTAGTTTTCCTATTTTTTAGCCCAGAATGCACATTCCTTTATGTTTCATTCAGAAATCTGCACATGTAATTGCAGTCTGTAGCTCAAGTATCCAAAACAGAATAGCTCCGGTAGAGAGACGTTCACAGATCAAATTAGGGAACCAAGTATTGCTGCTGAGTACCGATCTAGAGGTCTGTGCTTCACGCTTTTGACTTTTATCATTCACTCAGAGGCGTAACACTGAGGAGTACTGTAATTGTGAAAGAGGGGTAGAAACATCCGGACTTCTCAAGCGTATAGTTGAATTTGCTCTTTTACGAAGGCATTCGATTAAGACCGAACTGACCTGCTGAAGGCACGTATCGTTGAGTCCTATTCCTTCCATATCCTGCAAATCCCTTGACCCAAAATCTTCATTGTTGTAAGTTCACTCATTTTTCTTCACGTTTCTTATTTATGTAGATGGCCAGAAATGACTGTGCACCCCCATCTCCCCCTCATAGTCTGGCCGAAGGCCATCTGTAATGCAGGAAGGATAGTTAAATGCAATTTAAGGGTGGGACCTTTGCCAGAGAGGGGGTATGGGTTTGAAATTAAGAAGGAAGGTGGGAAATCACATCTACCTCATATGCTTGTTTTAGTGTCTTGAGTAACTGTCGAGTAGGAGCCCACGTAGAACAAGAAGTTGCCAATAAGAACGCACAAGATGTTATTTAAAAAACGCTGCATGTCCGTTAACAGTGATTTGCGAGACAATGCTCGGGAACTGGAGCGATTGATAGGTTTTCGTCAAGAATGCAGTCATGGTAGTTCGAAATCTTATCCCAGAAATGGTTATGTGGGTGGGCATTATCAGCGAGCTTATCGAAGGGAGTTAAGTTAAACCCGGGCAACTGCGATCTTCAGGTCTGGTTCCTTAGAAGAGAAGCCCTGGGAGG